ATGGACTTCCCAAGGGAGGTCTGGCCCTGCTGCGTGCACATAGACAGGAGGCTGGACTAATACGGTGTGGAGTTGGACAAATTTATCACAATGAAGCACTCCCGAAACACCCGTATGCGGCGAGGCCCAGGGGGACCAAGGATCCCAGCTCAGCTCCAAAGTCCGGCCGAGGGCCTCCGACACAAGACAAAAATCTATGGTGCGAGCGCCTCCTGGGGCTGGCCCCCGTGCGCTACGGAAAACACCATGCAGGTAAAGCTGAATGCCGCTGGCCGCGACCTCGTTGGTCTCCATGTTCCAGTCCCCTGCTATGATGTACGGCTTCCCCTGGGTACGAACGTAGCCCGCGACCTCCGCTAGAATAGTGAGGTTTTCTCCCTGCAGGCCCAAGCCCGTGACCAGGTAGAGGACTACGAAGATCACGTCGCACTCCGCCATCCGGATCGTCTGGCTGGTCCACTGCGTACGTTGCCGTCCTTCTCGTTGTTCCTGCACTGCCTGCTTAACCTCTGGATGGAGGGGAAGGTGGTGGAGATGCTTCCGCACCATCGCCCACACGCCTCCGTGGGTTCCCCCACGAGCCGTCTCAACTGCCGCCTCAGAGACCGTGGACCACCCCAAGCGCTTAAGCCGCTTGATGGCCTGAATATGTTGGCCGCCTCGGAGGTGGTGCTCCGCGATCATGATAAGATCCGCCTCCTGGAAGCCCCCATCCTGGTTCAGGTAGTCCCAGGCTTTCTGCCCCCAGGACGTCGTGTTGGCAAAATAGAAACGGAAATTCGATGCCAACTTTCCTTGCCGAAGATACCTGCCGGCCATGCCGGCCGCCACACCAGAAGCGAGTCCACCCTGGTCGCCCTCCCTGGAGGTCGGCCCTGATGGCAAATCACTCGTCGCGCCCGCCGCGGCGCCACGAGCCTCGCCCGCCGCCACTCGCTGGGGAAAACCCGCAGCCTCTCCAGCGCCACGTCCCCTTCCAAGGTCCCGTCGGGGGGGCGCAGGCCCCGAGGGGTCCGAGATCCTCAGGGCAGGCGCCGAAGTGACCGCCGGGCCTGCATCCCATCCCGAGGCGTCCAGGCGGAAGCGCGGGAAGCGAAATCTGGCGGGGCATTCCTTCACAACGCTCTCTGGGCTGTCACACGCTACACGGCGGCGGCGGGACGCCCCCGGAAAGCTCTCGGCGAGGTGCAACGCTATCTGGCTAAAGGCACTTGGGCTTCTTCTGCATGGACGCCCGAAGCTCATTGACCGTGGCCAGCTTAGCAGGATCACCATCGCAGGCCTCCAGCATCTCCTGCCAGGTCTGCTCCTCGATGGCCCGCTTGGCGCCCATGCTCGCCGGCTTGCCGCCGTCGGCCCAATCGTCGTCGTCATCCTCGCCTTCGTCGCCAGACGGGATGTGTTGCTCGACAGCGGTCTCCTGCGCAATGCCGGGAACGGCGGCAAGCACTCCAGGCTCAGGGATTCCAGGGACCCCAGGATCCAAGCCAGCGGCTGCAGCAGGCGCACGTGCAGCAGGTGCTGCTGCAGCGGCGCCTCCTGCTCCTGCGGGCCGGGCAGCAGCGGCGGCCGCAGGCGCCGGGGGCGCGGGCCCCCCAGGCGCGGCCGGCGCCAAGGCCGCGAGCAAGGCCCGCAACGGAGCCTCGAGCGGGCCCAGCGTGCCGTCGGGGACGCCGCGCATGGCGTCGGTGAGCTCCGTCGCCAAGAGGCCGAGGCCCTGGGGGGGCGCAGCGGGCGCAGCAGCAGGGGCCCGCCCAGCAGCCGCCTCCCTCGCCTCCTCCATGAGAGTCTTGACCTCCCCCTCCAACTTCTGGATTTTGACTCGATGATCGCATAAAGCCTGCATGGCCTCACGCGCGTGCTTCTCCTTCTTGCCCAGCGCGTTCTGGGCGGCCAGGAGCTGTTCGGCTTTTTGATCCACGGCTGATTGCGCAGACTTGAGCTGCTGCACAGACGCCATGCGGCCCAGCCCAAGCTTGGCCCTCCAGCGCTGCCCACGTAGGCGTTCGCGGGTGGACGGGTCGAGCGCCGGGCAGGCGGCGTCGAACTGCTCGTCGGACATCTGCAACCAGGGCTCGGCCATCTCGTCAGAGAGCTTGGCGCCCTTGGCGCCGCCTCCTTTCTTGGGCGGCTTCGGCTGGCGCACACCAGCACTCCCGCCTCCGAAGACTGGCGGCCCCATTGCCCACTGTCCCTGGGGCGCATGATGCCAAGGGGCAGGAGTAGGGCTGTCAGGATTCCGACCATTACACTGCGCCTGCCTGCACTTCGGCCGAAAGCCGAAATTGAAATACCCGCATGTGCCACACTGCCAGCCATTCCCCAGATGAGACATCCGAGAGAGAAGCAAGCAACTATGACACAGAGTAAACAGTTCGCAAATGAGGGATGAAACCTCACTACAGTACCAGAAATGCAACTGGCAGATCGCTGTTGGGGGCCGTGAATCCCCCGCGCCAAAAAGAACTCTAGTCCTCGAGCCACCGCTACGGACTTGAGCCAAAATGGCTACGGACTCCTCCTCCTCCTCCTCCTCCTCCTCCACCTCCTCTGCCTCCCCCTCCTCCTCCTCCTCCTCCTCCTCCTCCTCCTCCTCCTCCTCCTCCTCCTCCTCCCCCTCCTTCTGCTCCTCCTCCTCCTCCTCCCTCCTCCTCCTCCTCCTCCTCCTCCTCCTCCTCCTCCCTCCTCCTCCTCCTCCTCCTCCTCCTCCTCCTCCTCCTCCTCCTCTGCCTCCCCCTCCTCCTCCTCCTCCTCCTCCTCCTCCTCCTCCCTCCTCCTCCTCCTCCTCCTCCTCCTCCCCCTCCTCCTCCCTCTCCTCCTCCTCCTCTTCCTGCTCCTCCTCCTCCTCCTCCTCGCCCTCCTCCGCCTCCTCCTCCCCCTCTCCCCCTCCTCCTCCTCCTCCTCCTCCTCTCCTCCTCCTCCTCCTTCTGCTCCTCCTCCTCCTCCTTCTTCTGCTCCTCCCCCTCCCCCTTCTGCCCCTCCCCCCTAAGTGCAGGTACAGTCTGGGGTGACATACGCAGAGCGTGAACCTGGCGCGACCCCAGTCAGGGGAACGCTTCCGAGGTGTTTCTGGCGCACTGCGAGGCACTGCTTGGCATATTGCTTGGAGTTGCGTGGCATTGCTTGGCATATGGCTTGGTATATTGTTTGGCACACTGCTTGGCATTGTCTGGCACTGCGCGGCATTGCTGAGCATCGCGTGGCATTGCTTGGCATGCGTGGAGAGGCAGCACACAACCCAGTCTAAGGAACCAAAACCAACGAACCAAGACCAAGGGGCAACGGAACCACGACTAAGGAACCAAGGAACCAATAACAAGGAACTTTGGCGTTGCTTTTCGTTGCTTGGTATTGCTTGGCACTGCGTGGCGAGGCAGCAAGGAATCAACACCAAGGAACCAAAGAACCAAGACCAAATTCGCCGGCCCAACGGGCCAGGGCGTGCTAAGATCTCCGGTACCTGGTTAACAGTATTTCTAATTCGCGCGCGCGGGGCGGCCCCTGGGGGTCCCCGGGCGAAAAGTACCCCGGCAAGGTCCCGGCAAGTCCCCGGCAAGTCCCCGGCAAGGTCGGGTCAGAGATGCCGGAGTTCTGTTTCGGAGTCCAAGAGGGCTCCAGATCGGTCCAAGAGGGCCCCGAGAAGCTTTCTAGACGGTCCAAGAGAGGCCCGAGACGGCCAAAGATCGCCCGAAGACGCCCCAGATGGCCCCAAGACAGCCCAAGAGGCCTCCAAGACGCTCCAAGGGCCTTCCAAGAGGCCTCCGAAGAGGGCCCCAAGTTGCCAAAATCGTTGATTTTCATTGGTTTTTTCGATGTTTTTTTGCGTTCTGGCCTTTTCGCTTCCGGACGCTCCAAGAGGGCCCAAGAGGCCTTCAAGACTGCTCCAAGACGGCCCACGAGGCTCCCAAGACGGCCCCGGAGCGGCCCAAGAGCGCCCCCCAGACGGCCCAAGTGCTGCCCAAGGCGGACCAAGAGGCCCCAAGACGGGCCCAAGAGGGGCTCAAGAAGGGAACCGAGAACTGAAAAATCGAGCCCTCCGCCCCAGAAGGCGCCCAGGACCCCGAAAGAGGCCCCAAGAGACTCTCCAAGACACCCCCAAGACGCCCCAATAAGCTCCCGTGAGGCCCCAAGAGGACCAACAACGTCAGGCCCCAGGCCCCAAGAGGACCAACAAATACCGCCAAGAGCCCGCCGAAAGCCCCCCAAGAGACCGTCACGAGAGCTCAGGAGGCCCCCTGGAGGCCTCCCGAGTTCTCCAAGAGGCCTAAAAAGAGGCGCCAAGAGGCCCCAAACGGCCCCACCGAGGCTCCAAGAGGCCACGAACGCGCAAGCAAACGCCTGCGATGGCACAATACGGGCCGGCGGAATGAGCGAAGCGATTAAATAATCAAATAACAACGACCACGGAACCAAGACCAAGGAACCAAGGAACCGAGGAATCAATACGAAAGAACCAAGGAATCAAGACCAAGGAACGAAAGAACCGAGACCAAGGAGCCAAGACCGCAGAACGAAGGAACCCAGACCAGGGAACCCGAGGAAGGCAGCAGCGAACCAAGGCCAAGGAACAAAAGGACCCAAAGCACGAGAGCCCGAGGAACGCCAGCCGGCGCAGGCCCAGCACCAGCCAATTCTTCAGAATAAGTTCGACCCCCTCGGGGTAGGTCGGGCATGTCCTCCCACAGGCGGCTTTCGGCAGAAAAATAAAACACAATATCAAAACAGACCCAAGCATAGTCACAAAAGCACGGAGAACCGTCACCGGCTTTTTTGGTTCAAATAAAACAAAAAACTAGTCTCGAATATTCCTCCTGTAGAGGGACATGCCCGACTTAACCGCAGGGCAGGGCCAGAAGGAAGAGAAAGGATTCTGGTGGGGAGCGCCGCGACAAACCCTGCCCTCCCCGAGCCCACAAGCGGCCCCGCCGGCCCTGCCCCTCTTTCCAGGCGCCCCCCGCTCCCCATCCCAGCGGCGTGGTGGCGGACCCGCGCGGCAGCGCAGTGGATACTCTGCTATCAACGCTGAAGGGCGGCAGGCTCCAGGAAGGGGTCCGATGCTGGACAACCCTCTGCAAAATGACCAGAAGGACCGATGCTCGAGTGTCTTCTGAATTGGCGTGCAAGCGCGTTCCTTCTGTCGGCCTGGCCTCCAGCCCGCATCGTAGAACGCCGCGTGAATCTCAAAAGTGGTTGCATGTATGAATTTGCGCTGCCTGGCTTTTTGCCTGACCCCAGAAGCAGCACAATCACATGCTAAGATGAGGCGATTTCCTCAGAAGGTGAGTATTTGCCAGATTTTCTAATCCCCCGCGGTAATCCGCACTGGCCCCCTCCTAATTAAATAACTTCTTAAGTCAGTCGGCGAGTGAGAAACGACAACTTCTTAAGCTAATCGCCCAATGCAAGCAGCATGACCGGCTCCGCGCTCGTGGTCGCACTCACCCAGGCTACCATTCTGCGACTCGATCTTCGCTGGCTCACCTTGCGCGCTGAAGCATCAAGGAACCGCTTCAGTTCCGCCCCGCATGAGCTCAATGCACTTGTTCAGCCCCCTGAACTCCTGCCACCCCAGTCCCTGCCTGAACCAAGAACTCCATGATCTCCTCGACGACGTTGGGCGTGAGCCTCGAGAGCGCGCCGCCCTGGTGCAGCGGCGCACCGCCCCCCCGACGGAAGACTGCGCACGCCCGTGCCTCCCGGCAGGACGTCCAATAGCGCTCGAGCCAATGGTTCCCAGCCGCTGCCGCCACCTCCGCAGGCAGCCGCCCCGCCCCGTCGGGGGTGTCCGGGTCGGCCCCCGCGTCGAGCAGCGCCGCGGCCACCTGTTTGGACGCCCGAAATGGGTACCGAAAAAATGGGTACAATGCCCAACAACACATGTTGTCCCAAACCAACAGCGGCCGCTGTTGGGCAGGAGGCCCTCTGTCTCAGATGGACACGGGCCGCGGCGGCGTGGACAGCGAATCCGGCTCAAAATGAACAGGAACTGCTGTTGGGCATCGTACCCGTTCCTTCCCTACCCATTTCGGGCGCCCAGAACCTGCAGCACGCTCGCCCGGCGCTCGCGCGCGGCCCGGCCCAGCCAGGCGTCCCAGCCTGGCGGGCACTCCACGGGTCCTCCTGCCTCGGCCCACGTGTCGCTCGCGTCGCACTGCACGGCGCTCAGGGCAGTGAGGGCGGTGCGGCCCCACCTGTCCAGCGTGGCTGGGTCCGCGCCGTGCGCCAGCAGCAGCCGGACCATGCCTGGGCAGCAGTGCTCCTCGATGGCACAGTTGAGCGCTGTCAAGAAATTGGTGTCGAAGAACAAGTTTCCGACCGCGTCTGGGTCCGATTCGAAAGCCTCTCGCGCCCGCTCCAGCGAGTTGGAACGAATCGCGCGAAGCAATGCCGTGGCAGCCAGCCTCTCTCCACGCGGCTGCACGTCAGTCTGCGCCTCAGTGCCCACCGGCGATTTGAAGAAGTCGAGCTTACTGGAGCGTGGCCCCGCCTTCGGGGTGCAGAAGGCTTTGCTTTCTGCGGTGTTGACACACATTGTGTGCGAAGTCCCGTCGGGGTGATCGCGGAGGGAGCGGTGCGCGAAACAAAACTGGCGCCTTGAGCCAAAATGGCTGCGGAACCCGTGGTATACGCCACATCATGCTTCCTTTGCGAAGCGGTCAATGAACATAACTTTCTCCATCTGCGCCAGCTCTGCGGACCGCGCCTGCTGGTGTCTGCGCTCGCGACGCCTCCCCTCGGACTCATACGTTGCTTGCCTGGAGGCGCTTCGAGGTGTGCTTCCTTGCATGTGCACTGCCTGTGGGATACATTGCATGTTTTGTTCCTTGCCGGGATGAGAAGGAGACAACATTGAATATCATTGTATGTGTGTGTGTGTGTTTGTGTGTGTGTGTGTGTGCGTGCGTGCGTGCGTGCGTGTGTGTGTGTGTGTGTGTGTGTGTGTGTGTGTGTGTGTGTGTGTGAACGTGCTCCCGCACGACTATCTGCGTTTCCCAAACTTTTGTTTTAAGGCCGTCTGTTGCCAAGGTCGTCGGGGGGTCACCTGCAAGTGATCCGCAACTCCCAATTGCACCGTTGTATTGCCAACTTAGTTGCTGGCGAGGTCGGACCACCTGGATGCCAACACAACATGCCGCGAACAAAAAGTTGTGCTCCCACAAAGCTCTTTACATGTGGTAAAGAAGTGAACCGTCTTGCGGGTGCATATCGTTAATGAATTACTGCGAGTAAGCCCGCTATCTGGCTTGCGGCGACTTAACACGAGGCGCCTGCTACATTGGCATCAACGATAAAAACGTGTGTGTGATATGCCAATGTGCTTGTTGCTCTGTGACTTTTGCACTCCGAGGCTAGCTCAGACGGGTTCCCGAGGCGCCCTGAATGCGACCCTCCTGAAACTGGGGGCGGCTCCAGTTGCCTCCCTTCCATTCTGGACTTCCCCCAAAGGCCCGAAAAACAAGGTCACCTAATTGCAGGCTTTGCGCCAAGCGAAATGCGGTCATCTTCTCGCTCTCGAGCTGCCGCCATGGAGAAGGGCAACTCTCTGGCCCAGGCTTCGAAATGCGATTGTCTTTGTGCGCTGGTGACCTGGAAGAGAGCCCCATTACACTCTAACCCCCCGCTTCCTGCTCCACCTCGTCCTCGTCGTTGCCTCTTCCTCCTCCTCCTCCTCCCCTCCTCCTCCTCCTCCTCCTCCTCCTCCTCCTCCTCCTCCTCCGTGCCTCCCTCCCTCTTTTGAGGGCGCATGAGTGGCACCAGGCGGCCCTGGGGGGCCCTTTTGGGATCTCGGACATCCCCAAGACCGTCCGCCCCCTCGAGGACACCTCCAAAACTCCCTCCCAAACCCAGGCCACCAACTCTCGCGCCTTGTGCTGCGAGAAGCGCACCTCTCTTCGCGCTCACGCGCCGCCCCCCCCTGGAAAGGACCACCTCTCCGGCCCAGGCGGCGACGCACAATATTCTTCACGCCCCTGCGGCGGACCTGGAAGACTCTTTCGGGAACCTTTTCTTGGGACCCTTCCACGGCGCCTCTTCCGGAAGCTCTTCTGTCAGTCGCTGCTTCGCCAGAAATTCTGCGGAGTGTAGCACTGTTTGGTCACGCCACGGCCGACCTGAGGAACGACAGAAGCAAGGACTGACACACCGGAGGCTATGGGCCAACGCACAAAATCTCTGACATATACACGCACGCGCACCGCAACGACGCATATCAGGACGGAGCAAAAAATATACTACACCGTGCCGGATCATACTGGTGCCCGCGCGTCTGGCGTGTGTACCTCCTATGGCAGTATCCCCCGCGCTCACAGAACATCCACTGATTTCTATACTTCCCGAGACAGGTTCTCTTCTGCACCGCTACTCTCGAAACCAACGCAATGCACGATGCGATGCAATCCGCCGGCCCGCGCTTCAGCTTGAGCCGTGGGGCGCGCGTCATTCGTGCGCCAGAGCATCGCGCTCCAACTTGAACCTTTCCTCACTCATCTCCTATTCTGTCCATCTACCCTCCGAGAGTGTGCCCCCTTTTTCGAATTTGTTTGTCTCCGCTGTTCCGCTACCCGCCGCAAGTGGCTTCAATATTGACCAGCACTGTCCCCAGAGTGCCCAGGTCAACTCAGATAGGCTGAAACATAGCCAAGCATTCTTCTGGGTGGCACACGATTGCCCCGATACTGCTCTGAATGTTCCCACGACGGCCCAAACGGGGTCCGCGGAATTCCCCCCCCCCCCTCCCCCCTCCCCCTCTAAAACCAGCATCGCTGAAAGACACTCGTACTATCATTGTGCTTTGCCTTGTAATCCTTTTCATCTCGGTTGATTGCCTCACATAACCAAACGTTATATACATACAGAGAGAGAGAGAGAGAGAGAGAGAGAGAGAGAGAGAGAGGGAGAGAGAGAGAGAGAGAGAGAGAGAGAGAGAGAGAGAGAGAGAGAAAAAAAGAGAAAAAGAGAGAGAGAGAGAGAGAGAGAGAGCGAGAGAGAGAGAGCGATATTACGGGATTGCGGGGATACAACCACTGCGTTGTGGCAAGCAACAGCACAGGACTTGCGTGCACATTGACACGGCCTGCAACAAGGGGCAAAGGAACTCAAGCAAGCGACAGTTGACGCGACGACAGACTGCGCGCGAACTTTCCACGAAACGGCACCGCGTTGGGTGCCGCCCCATGCCAGCCACAGGCACGGTCCCCACGGGCGGTCACCACGAAACGAGCCAAGGAGGAGGAGGGGAGAAGAAAAGCAGCGACTGCAGCCACAAGCCACTGTGCCGTCGCGGGGGTCTTCAGCCCACCACATCAGCAAAACTACTAACTCCACCTCCAGCTCGCAGGGCCAGCTCGCTCGCCACCTACCGCACGTTTCCGAGCTGCGTCCGCCCCATGAGCCTCAGATGACGACGCCATTGTGCCGCCGCAAGCCATCCGATGGGGTGCCGCTCCCCTCGGGCGACTCCGCACCCCCACGCGCGCCAGGGCGGGGCCACCCCGGCCGTGGGAGGGATGGGTGCGGGATCCCCCGATGGGCCCCGCGCAGGGGGCCCGCGACACCGCCCGAGCCCAGGCGCGGTACCTGGTGGGCCACCGCAAGGGTGCCGCAGACGCGGCGACTAGGGACCAGTATTCTCCCCCCCCAGGCCCCCGACGGGCAAACCAGGGTGACGAACGGGCTGCTGGCCGCCTGTTTTCCTGGGAAGGGGACCCAGTGGCACAGGTGCCGGAGAGAGAGAGAGAGAGAGAGAGAGAGAACAAAAAAAAGAGCGAGAGAGAGAGAGAGAGAGATAGAGAGATAGAGAGAAAGAGAGAGAGAGGGGGATACATACAGAGACAGAGACAGAGACAGAGACAGAGAGAGAGAGAGAGAGAAAAAAACAACACAAACACCGATAGAGAAACCGACCGTGTCCGTCAGTCGCGAACCTGTCACACAATTACTTTTCGGCTTGGGCGCCGTAGTGGGGGCCTTTTGGGAGCATCTGGAGCCATCTTGGGCCTATCTTGGAGTTGTCTTGGGGCCCTTAAGACTTGATTGAGGGCGTCTGATGGCCCAAAGGTGTGCCCCACGAAACCCCAGTGTGCACACAAAGGTGCCCCAAGGGCGCCCCACCCAAAGTTGGCATCGGTTTGGCGATAGCAGACCATTTTTCGGCTCATCAATCCTCCTGCGCAAACGTGCGGTCATGTCGGGGCTGTTTTCGGCAACGTTGGAATCGGCCTCCCGTGGGGATGTATTGCGCCTGCCGTCCTCGGCTGCGAGCACGCTGTGGGCGGACGGTGGACGTGCAACGTTTCGAATCTGCCCGTCCGCCCTCTTGCGGGAGCTTGGGCCGCGTGGGTCCTACAACTCTCAACTTTCAACATCCCTTCTCACTCCCCCAATGCCTTTGTGTATTCCGTCGGCCTATCCCGCTGTTGCCCATCCCGCTTATATTTCCAAAGCGGCCCAAACGTGTCCTCCAGAGCACCCAGATCGGCCAGCCTGGGCTCGGAGATCGCCAGCGACGACTCAGGGGAGCCCAGGATGGCCGCAATCTGCCCCAATCTGGTTCTGAACTGGGCCGTGCAGGATCCCCAGTAGGGGACACCGATCGAAGCACGATGGTACTTCAACTTGCTTTGCGTTTTCATCTTTTCGCCTGGTTTGGGAAAAGTCCAGCAGGTCCCAAACATTGCCCACGGTGGCCCAACAGGCCCGCAACATTTCCCACGATATTTCCAACATCGCCAAGTCGATCAATTTCCGCGACGCTTTCGCGATGGTCTCGTGATGGTCAAGCAAGCTTGGTCTCTGGGTACTCGTCGGCCAGATGGGGCCGTCTTGGAGCCGTCTCAACTTAGGGCAATTTTGGGCCGTCTTGAAACAGATTTCGGCATCCCTTGGTGCCGATTTCGTGTTTTGGGTACACCTTTGGCGCGATGGGCTGTATCCCGCGCTTCAGCCCGCGCTTCTCCCAATTAATACGCGACAGCTGTGGGCGGGCGGCGAAAGCGACATGTCGTGAATCCGCCCGCCTACTCTGGCGTGACCCTGGAGCGTGTGAGAGCTTTGCCCGATATCTCTAACAGTGTGTGTGTATACGGATATCTTTGCATATATATATGTAGACATCTATACATACATGAACATGTATTCATGTATTTATGTATGTGTATACATACTTACGTACGTACGTCTGCATGTATCCATGCATGCATGTAATTATGTATGGGTGAATTTAGATATAGATAGGTACATGTATATTGCATATATGTACAGTTCGTCCCCTTCGCTAGCGCTCCCACAGCTTCCGCGCATTACGTTAGCCGGCCCTAGACCGCCGCACGCCCATCACCCTCAATCTAGATCCTGCCCGTGAGCGGGCCCAAGATGGCTGCCCTCCGAGCCCACACCAGAAAGCCTAACAGGCAATCCAACCAACGTAGCCGAGGATGGCTCATACGACCTCCGAGCCTCTGAGACTCGTGACATACGCTAAACGACGGCCCCGTAAATGCTGCGCCCATGATCCCTGATGGCCCCGGCCCTTCACGTCCTGCAAGACGGCTCCAGTCGGATGCTCATCTATGTAAACTCACGAGCAAGTCGTAGAACAATAAAAGAAGTACGTTTGTTTTTTCGCTGTCGCCTTTTTCTGAGTCGAATGGCTATTCAAATTAAGCATTCGCCAGCGCTGCCCAAGACATCCCAAGAGAAGCTCCCAGGGTCTCCAACAGGGTGAACAAACAGAGCAAAAGGGGCCGCAGAGGCCTCCGAGAGGTCCCACAAACTCCACAAGATGGCACACATCTTCGGCTCTTCTGGGCCCTCTTGGCCTGACTTCCAACCAACTTGAGGCACTTTTGAGCTGTCTTCGGGCTCCTCGGGGTTGTCCTAGGGCAAATTCCGTCTTCTGAAACATTTTGGCTCTTTGGGCTGGTCGTGGGCCCACCTTTGAGATGTCTTGGGCTCCGAGAGAGAACTTGCAGGACGAGCGGGATCGCGATGCGACTTGAGCACGGCGGGTCCTCTGCGAGCCCACGCCAATCTTCAGCACATGGAGACTTTGCCAATAGGCACGTGTTGGTGATACATCGAAGCAATCGGCTCCGCACATCCTGCCGCCTGGGCGAAAACAAGTGCTGGAGCATACACAAGGTGACTCTGGAGAGGGCCCAGAAGTCCCTCTGACGGCTTGAAAGAGATTGATTCCACGAGTGCAGCGGAAGGTCCCCAGCGCCCGAAGACGATTCAAGGCGGCTGCATAACGCACCGCAACGGCCCGAGATTATCCAACCTAACCACCAGGCGGTATCCAGTAACCATCGCAGGTCCCCGAGAGGCAACTATCATAACACTTCAACGTGGATTTTCCTGACTATCGCCCTGTCATCCTTATCGGACGTAGATGGCTCCCAAACTTGGGTCCGTCTCTCCCAAGATGGCCCCAACGCGGCTCCGAAGTCCCCGACGTTGCTCAGGAAAACCTCCAAACGGTCCACCGAGGCCTCCCGTTCCTCTAGGGGCCTGCCGTGACTCCTGCTTCCGCGCTGCAGGCTCATAATATGAAAAGGATTACGTGCGAAGAGGGACGTGATGGGCTCCAGGCAGCCGGGCGGCAGAGGATGATACTCGCGTCGCAATGTTTCATTCTCCGTGGCTTGTCTGCAGTCAAACTCCAACCTAGCTACTTCGATCTAGCTACTTCGGCAGCCCTGACTCGCCCTCTGCTCTCTGTGACTAGACTGTCAGCAGTCACGCTGCGGTCTACGAAACCCTTCGAGTCTGAGAAGGTTGCGGCCCTGACGATTTCGGCAAGGTCCGCAGCCAGTGAAAATTGCGGGCGCTCGCCACCCTGCAGCGGCCGCGGCCCCGCAGAGGCGCGCAAATTTTGAGGTCCGTGGATCCAGACGCCGCGCTTGGTTTTCACGACGTGGGCGCCCCTGTGCTCTCGACCCACCCCCGGGACGGGCTGCTTGCCGCGGGCCGTTCGCGGATGGCCTTGGGGCGATGATGATGCTGCTGCTGTTGATGATGATGTTGATGATGATGATGACGATGATGATGATGATGACGACGATGACGATGACGATGATGATGATGATGATGATGATGATGATGACGACGATGACGATGACGATGACGATGATGACGATGACGATGACGATGACGATGACGATGATGATGACGATGATGATGATGATGACGACGACGATGACGATGACGATGACGATAATGATGACGACGATGATGATGATGATGATGATGCTGCTGCTGCTGCTGCTGATGATGATGATGATGATGATGATGATGATGATGATGATGATGATCATGGAGGGGGGGTCTCCGGAGGCCCAAGCTCGCGAAAGCCCGCCGTCGCGATCCACGCCGCTGGGGGCCCGCCGGACAAGGCCGTCAGCTCACACTCGGAGCCGCCCAGGCTGGCGGCCCCAGAGGCGAGCACGAAAGGGCCCTCGCTGCCGCGCCCGCGGCGGCAGGCGGCGGGGCCAAAAGCAGCTCGAGGCCGCTCGCGCGCCGCCCGGCCGAGGCGCGCGAGGGAGGCGGAGGGCCCGCGGGCGCCTCGGCGACGAGCATATGTGAAGGGGCCCTGGGACACACAAATAAATACACATACATAAAAATATTCCCCATGTTTTCCTATATTTTCTGGGTTTTTGTCTTCCCCCCATTTCCCATACTTTCCCATATTTTCTGGGGAATCGCCGATTAATTGTGTCTGTGTGTTTCTTTCCCTCCTGAGTATGGGCGATTCCGGAAGCCCTGAACCCAGCACTGTTTTCTTCTCTTGGGGGCGCCTGTTTGGCTTCTGCCACCCTCCGCCGCCCTTCCGCCGGCGGAAGGGCGGCCTCGTTTTTTACTTCTGCCGCCCTTCCGCCGCCCGTCCGCGGCGGAGGAGATGGCAACTCCTCCGATCCTCGAAGGCAAGGCCATGTTTGGACCGCCTCATACAGTCGGGGCGTTGACCTAAGGAACCCTAATGACACCGGAGAAAAAAACCCAATCAGATTTTTGTTGGGGCTATGGGGCTGTAGGGCTATAAAGCTATAAGGCTATGAGGCTATAGGGCTATCGGGCTATTGGGCTATTGGGCTATTGGGCTATAAGGCTATAGGGCTATAAGACTGTAGAGCTATAGGGCTATAGGGTTATAAGGCTATGGGGCTATCGGGCTATAAAGCTATAGGGCTATTGGGCTACAGGGCTATGAGGCTATAAAACTATAGGGCTATAGGGCTACAAAGCTCTTGGGCTATATGCTATTGGGCTATTGGGCACCCCGGGCACCCGGGCACCCGGGCACCCGGGCCCGGCCACCGAAATCGGCCACGCACCTCACCGGGCACCCGGGCACCCGGGCACCCGGGCCCGGCCACCGAAATCGGCCGCACCTCTCACCTAAACCTTTAATCCGCTAGGACCCCTACAGAGGCAAGCTCTGATTGGGGAAATAAGGAACGAGGCCCCTTTTTTCCATAAGTTAAACTTCGACTTCCTATCGAAGACATAAGGGAAACCTGAGGCAAGCTGTGAAACACTTAAGGAACGCGGAGCCCCTCCCCAACCAAAAGGGTTCCTTCTTCAGGGCCCCGACTGTATGCCCTCCTTCCCTGGGGGCCTGTGCCGGCCTTCCTCCTGCTCGCTGCCCCCCGTCGCCGCCGTCTGCTTCGCGCCGTGGCCATCGAGGGGCTGCTGCGATGGCCTGCTGTCGAGCGAGGCTGGGGAGCAACCAAAGAGGCGCAGCCCCAGAAGAAGCACTCCGACAAGCGAAGCCATGTCGCAAACGCACCCGAGGACGGACTCGAACAGGGCAGGGCTGTTCAGTAAACGCCCAGGGCCGCTTCGCAGACGCCAATTATCGGGGTCCGGGTGTAATTTTTCCCCTCTGGATGGGCAGCCACCCGTGAATCCTACCTCTGCAGGTCAGACTTCTGAAACGCCGACGGGGGCTCAGAGCTCAGGACTCGAAGGTCTGCAGCCAACTGAACCCCAGCAGGGGCGTCCAATACCCCAGCGTCAAGTGGACCCGCAGGGGTAGGGTTCGCAGTTGGCCGCAGGCTAGTCGGCGAGCTTTGCGGTCTGTTAGTTGACCCCTTCTCCTGCCCCCTCCTTCTCCCTTCTTCCTCCACCAGCCCGTGAACCCCCTCCGCTCTCCCCTCCCTGGCGCCCTACCCCCCTCCCAGTGTGGCAGCTCGCGCCGTGGTGCCGTCAGAGGGCAGCTGTGGCCAGGCTGACCCGGAGGCCAGGGGGGGGCCAACTCGGCACCAATCGGCTACACGCAAGTGGCCCTGGGTAAGAGTGGCCCTTGGTGCGCGGCTTCTTGGGGGCCGCCGGGGGGGGCGGGCGGCAAACACTAGCGCGCAGGACGCCAGTGCCGCCTCGCGCTCGGCGATCGGGGGGCCCCAGTGGGCCCGCACCAAAGGTCACTCCGGCGAAGGGTCACTCTGACGCGTAGTTGAACCAAGGCGCAAAGACCGTGGCCAGCTGCACGGGGGAGACGGCTTGCAAGCAGCCCGTGCCTAAGCGGAGCCCATGCGGGCCGCCGCGACGGCACCCTGCGGCCCTGCCCAGCCCTTTGAGCCGAGCAGGTCCAGGTCCGGCGGGGCGGCACACTCCAGCGCCGTGGTCGGCTGCGAGTCCAGGTAGTCCATGGTCCCCCAGGGCTGCCCGGCGCCTGCTGGGAGGCTGCGCCCAGCCCCTCGTGCTAGCGGTCTAACCAACGGCGGGAGGTGGGCGGCACGTGGAGGAGGCGGCACATGGAGAAGACTCAGCTCACGCCCTGGAAGGTGCATGCGCAGAACATGTACGCTCACGAATGGGGATGCAAGACGATGCAGCGCAACGTGATGCAACATCTTGCGCTGTAGCGCAGCGTCGCCTGATGCTTACAAGCTGTTGGCCCGCTCGCCGCCTGCTCCTGGCTGTTCACGCATGAACCAAGCGCCCGCCCCCAACATCGCGGCAAAGCGCCTTGAGGAAAGGGGGCCTGGTGGGGAAGAGGCAGGCAGGAGGAGGAGGAGGAGGAGGAGGAGAAGGAGGAGGAGGAGGACGAGGAGGAGGAGGAGGAGGAGGAGGAGGAGGAGGAGGAGGGGAGCCTCGCAGAGCGCCCCTCCCCCCTCCTGCCCTGGCGCCAGTGCCTCCTCGAAGCCGGCCCATGGCCTGGGCCTGGCCCCTGGCAGCCCCCCCCCTTCAGCCCGCGAGCGGCCTGCGAGGGGAGCCGCGGGGTCGCCCCCCAGGAGGTCGACGGGCTCCTGCTCGGGCGCGGGCGCCTCGGGCCCCGCCCCGCGGCGGCGGCCTCCGGGGGGCGCCCGCGGCGCCTCGGCCCGCTGGGTGCCCTGCGCCTGCCCCTGCCTCCGGCGGTTGCACCTCGGGTCCTCCGCGGCGGCGCTCGCCTCGGGCTCGCAGTCCGCGGTCACCACCTCCGACGCTGGCGCGGCCCCGCGGGGGTCGGCTGCAGAAGAAGAGGAAACGTCGTCAACATGAACTGTTGGCGCTCCGCGCGGACTTCTTGGATCTGCGGAGCGCGCTGGGGGCGCCGCTGGGGGCGCCGCCTGGGGGGCCCAGCGCGGATCCAAGAAATCCGCGCGGAGCGCCAAAAGTTGATGTTCGTGGCGCTTTTTCTTTTTCGGTGCTGTGCAGGAGGGCACCAGGTTCGCCAGCACCCCCCAGAGCGTGCTTCGGCCGTTGTAGCAGTCGTCGCACACGTAATCCGCCACCGTGCTGCAGGCACTTCAGTGGAGCGTCCTCGGGCCCCTTTCGGAGCCTCTGTGTCCCCCATATCCTAAGCAGGGTGCTCTTGCTCTCCTGACGCGCCTCGCTTTCGGGTTCCCATGGCGCCAAGCAAACCCGGAATCTCCCCCCAAGGGAGGGGGTGGGTGTCCCAGGCGGGGGCTGCCGTCGCGGTGCCGTGCAGGCTGCTGGACTGTAGATGCTCTTGGGCGTACATGCCAAAATAAATCCAACATTCTTGCAACACGACTTCTGGCTTTATTCAGTATGGAGGATCTACACCAGAAACATACACGCCGAATCCTGGCCAATCAAGCGTGCATCAGTTCATGCTCCCAAAGCAACAGCCTCTCAGGAACCTTCTCATGAACCTTCTCAGACTCTCTCGGGAGTCTCTCAGGAGCCTCTCAGGGCCTTTCAGTAGCCTCTCAACTTTCAGGAGCCTCTCAGGATTCTTGCAGGACCCTTTCAGGATCTTCTCAGGACCCCGACATACCCTCCCAATACCCTTTCAGTGCCCGCCCAAAGTGTTTCGCAGGATCCGCCCAATGGCCTTTCTCGAGCCTCTCGAGCCTTTGATGATCGTTCGAGGATGCTCCCACGATCTGCTCAGGAGCCTCTCAGGAACCTCTCAGGGATATCTCAACATTCTGCCAGTACTTTAGTAGTGGAAACAATTGGTTTTCAAAATGTTTGGTCTTTAGAAGCTCTGCGTGGCGACGCCCCCGTCTCCACGCGTGCCCTCTGCGTGCCTGCGGGGGCGCCGCCACGTAGAAGTACAGGAGACCGAGCATTTGGGGCGTCTCTATGCACGCCCTCTGCGTGGCTGCGACAATTTGTCAAAACCCTAAAACCAATTACATTCACTAATAAAGTAGGCTTCTGTGCTGGAGAACTGTCAATGTGACGCCTCCGCCTCTTGCCGTCCCCATCAACTACGTCCTCCATGTCAGACTCACTCGGACTCAATCTTAGTCGTACTCGAACCCGCTCATGTTCATACTCGTCTCCACACCACCTCTCGCTCACTCAGGCTCAGATGGCTCATGCTCGAAGTCAACTTCATTCGGGCTCACTCATGCTCAACACCAGTCATACTCAGACTTAGTCGCACTCACACTCACCCCTTTCCTTATCCGTATTCCCTTCGCGTATACGGTCGGGAACTTTTGCTTAGAGTGTCGCGGCGGCGGCCCTGGCGACACTCTATGCCTTGCAATGGATAGCGTGTCGCTCCGCTCCGCTGTGCTGGAGGCTGGGAACGGCGAGGGACGTTGACGCTGGGGGATCGGGAACTGGATAGCGTGTCGCGGCCGATGGCGGCCGGATCCGGGACCTCCCATCCGACGTTTTTGCTCTCGGCATGGACGTTCTGTCGTCCAGCACGCAACATGCGTCAGGAATGGGACTGGGCGCACATCTGGCGCGAGAGGGCGAGCTGTCGCTGTCGCCTCGGCGCCGCGCTCACTCCTCGGGAATTGAGCTCCCGTGTGGGCGCGGCGCTGTCTCCCTAATTGAAGCTGTGCGTAGCCCTGTCTCCCTAATGAAAGCTGTGCGTAGCCCGCCTAGCTTTTAGCGGAAGAGGTTCGCTCTCGCCCCGCCGACCTAAAAAGTGGGCGCGGCGCACCTTGTTCGCAGGCCAAGCTGTCGGCTCGCGCGCGGGCGGAAAAACGTCGCTCCTGCCACGTGGCGCCGCGCAGTCCGCTCGAGGCATGGCGCTTCCTTCCACCTCGGCGCCGCGCGCGTGAATTCCTCGCCACAAACTTCTGGCCCCCGCGGCGCGAACGAGCGCCTTTGTCGCCCTCGCCCGCGCTCCGTGCGCTCTTCGCTTGAAGTGCCGTTCCCGCGCGGGTGCGGCGCTTGGAGCTCCACCTATGGCCCTGATGGCAGGGTCCACCTGCGGCTCTCCGCCCCTTCCGGCACACCCCTCGCGCCCGTTTCGTGGCCCCATATCCCCCTTCTTTCCTTCGTCCCACGTGCCTTGTGATGCTCACAACTGCATACAGTTGGGCCTTTCGACCAGGTACTTCACAACCATCCTGTGGTGTTGGGTCCTCGTTTTGATGAGACAGCGCCCCGCATCTCACTCACTCCTTCATCCTCCCCCTCCTCCCTCACCCTCCCATCCCTGCCTCTGCCCTCCACATGTCAATGATTTCGGCACACACACACACCTTACACAGTTTGTGGCCCCATAGGCAGCTCCACCGAAGGCCTCAGTGGCAGGGTTCGCATGGCGGCCTCGGGCGATGTCGGCACACCCCTCACGAGGATTGTCGCCCAATAGGGAGCTCCACCGAAGGCCTCAGTAGCAAGGTTTGCATGGCCGCCTCGGGTCATCTCGGCACACCCCTTGCGAGGATCGTGGCCCAAAGGGAGCTCCACGGAAGGCCCCAGTTGCAGGGTTCGCATGGCGGCCTCGGGCGATTTGGCACACCCCTCACGAGGATCGTGACCCCATAAGCAGCTGGACCGCAGGCCCCGGTGGTAGGGTTCGCATGGCGGCCTCTGGCCATCTCGGTACATCCCTCACGAAGATCGTGGCCCCATAGGGAGCCCCAACGAAAGCATCAGTAGCAAGGTTCGCATGGCGGCCTCGGGCCATCCCGGCGCACCCCTCACGAGGATCGTGGCCCCATTGGGAGCTCCACCGAAGGCCCCAGGGGCAGGGTTCGCATGGCCGCCTGAGGCGATTTCGGCACACCCCTCAAGAGGATCGTGGCCCCATGGGGAGCCCCAGTGGCAAGGTTCGCATGGCGGCCTCGGGCCATCTCGGTACATACCTCACGAGGATCGTGGCCCCATAGGGAGCTCCATCGGAGACGGGTTCGCACGGCGGCCAAGGGCGATTTCGGTACACCCCTCACGAAGACCGTGGCCCCATAGGGAGCTCCATCGAATGCCCTAGTAGCAGAGTTCGCATGGCGGCCTCGGGCGATTTCGGCACACCCCTCGCGAGGATCGTGGACCCATAGGGAGCTCCACCGAAGGCCCCGGTGGTAGGGTTTGCATGGCGGCCTCTGGCGATTTCGGCACACCTCCGGCGAGAATCGTGGCCAAATACAGTCCAACATATGATGAAGCAATTTATTATTTTAGAAACATCTGGGGCCAGCTTTGGCAGTCCTAGCATGGGCAACTGATTCTTGAGAAACTGGGCAAACTTTCCAGTACATTGGTTAGGAATCGGTTGGCCAACTTTTCGGGGGTAGGTTTCTTCACCGAAGGCCCCAGTGGCAAGGCTCGCATGGCGGCCTCGGGCGATTTCGGCACACCCCTCACAAGCTTCGTGGCCCCATAGGGAGCTCTGAACGAAGGCGCCATGAGGGGCACATCCTGCGATACTCGCAGCTGCATATGGTTGGGTCCTTCGCCAGGCTAATCTTTTCAGCATTCTCGCCTTTTCAGGCTTCGGACAGCCGAAGACGGCCACAAGGGCCTCCAAGGTAACCCCTCAGACGGCCTAACAACCCTCTAGGAAGGCTCCAAAGCGGCTCCGAGAGGGCACCAGAAGCCCAAGACACCTCCAAGACGACCGAGAGGGGGCGACGTATTGCTTCCAAGGGCGTCCGACGGGCCAATAGAACCTTACAGTGGAGGCCCGACCACAAGAAACCTTCCACAAGAAACCCAACCCTGAGACCCCAGGGCGTCCACTGATTTCTGGTGTGGGAACGGCACGCTCTCCATCGCAAAACCATCGGAGCCCAAGAAATCCAGGGCACGCTGGAGGCAAGCAGGGGTGTTTCTTGGCATGGGCCTCTACTGCATTGCTTCCGAAGGCGTCCGACGGGCCAACAGAACCCTACGACCGCCGAGGGAGGCTCCCGAGAAGCCCTCAGAGACCCCAAGAGGAGGAGGAGGAGGAGGAGGAGGAGGAGGAGGAGGAGGAGGAGGAGGAGGAGGAGGAGGAGGAGGAGGAGGAGGAGGAGCCCCCAAGAGACCCTCAGAGATGCCCCCATGCCCCCCCCCCATCCGAGGGCCCAGGCCTCCTCTCCTCGCCCTCCTTCCCCTATCTCTCCGCCTCCTCCTCCTCCTCCCTCCTCCTCCCTGCTCTCCTCCTCCTCCTCCTCCTCCTCCTCCTCCTTCTCCTTCTCCTTCTCCTACTCCTTCTCCTTCTCCTCCTCCTTATCCGCCTTCTATCTCTCCTCCTCCTTCTCCTTCCCCTATCTGTCCTCCTCCTCCTCCTCCTGCGTCTTCCTCCTCCAAGTGTTCCCCCCAAAGGTTTACCAAAGCCGCTGTCAGCGGCTGCGGGAACAACTGTTCCAATATGTCTTCGCAAGACTTCAGCCCAACGTTGGGCCACATAGGCGCTTCCGAAAGGCATGAGGCGGCTATGGTTCGCCGCAGGCGTCTTCGATAATTGCACGTCCGGCAATCCATGACCACCTCCCCGTCTCGGACGAACTTGTGGCATCCGTCGCACGTGCCTGCTCTGGCTTGCCACTCCTGCGGGGAACACAACTCGCTGGCGCTCGGCCGAGTACGTGTAAAAGAAACGCCTGCACCCCGTCTGGTGGTAACACGCTCAGGGTGGCTCTCGAAGGCTGCCTCCCGTGCCTTGCCCCTTCCGAAGCAACGGGCAACAAAGCTTTCGGACATCCCGTCTCCCCCCTGAACGCAGCTCGTCTTCTCCCAGGTTGTCCTCCCTGCCGTACAGGGGAGGCTCGTCCACAAGAAACCTTCCACAAGAAACCCAACCCTGAGGCCCCAGGACGTCCATTGATTTGTGGTGTGGGAACGTCGCGCTTTCCATAGCATAACCATCGAAACCGAAGAAACCCAGGGCACTCTGGAGGCCAGCAGGGTGTTCCTTGGCATGGGCCCCCACTGTACGGGAGATGGGAAGAGTTGGTCGCTTCTGCCTCAAGATCTCAAGCGAGCAAACCGACGCGGCTGCCAGAAAAGCTGTGCGGGGCCCTGCTTTGGACTGGCGAAGCGCAAACTGCCCCGTTGACTCCTTGAGCTTGTGGCCGGAGTTGCACTCGGTGACCTTTCCCATGGCAGTCGAATCGTCGGCGCGTCGCGTGCGGCGGTCAACGACTTGGTGCAATATTGCTTCGGAGAACCACGTGGATCAAATCAACCAGCTACAACTGGGGGAGCTGTGTTCTTTACCCCCCCGGGGGAACGCATCGCCTCGACGATCTCTCAACAAGGGTGTCCAAGCCGATGGGTCTTCCAGAGGGGCAAGGACCACAACCCCCCACATGCGGCTGGTCTGATGAAATGGTCAAAGACGGAATGTAATGCGGATGTGAGCAGCACTGGCACGGTGATGCTTGGTGAGCGTTTTCGTAATCGGCGTTTCGTCCTTGGGGTCTGGCTCCGGACCTCTGCTCGATGCGACTGTTTGCAACAGTGCGTCCGATTGGGGAGACTCCACCTGCTTGAAACAGGCGCAAAGAACAGCAAAAATCTACTCCATGGGGGGGGGGGCGTGGGCCCGCGCCGATCGGCAAAACAATCAAGAAGAAAACGATCACTTAAAATACTTAAAATATTTAATCGACATGCCCAAGAACTGCAGACATTGACATGTCATCTCGCCGGAGAAGCCCTCGACAATTCGCTGGCCCAATGGGCCAACGGCGTGCTAGGGTCGCCAGTGCCGTCAACCCGTAGAATGATGACACACAATAAGGATGCAAGGGCCTTGGAAGGCCAGATCGACACTTTGCGAGCGGGGCGCGGCCAGTGAAAGCGGCCAAGGATGGGCCGAAGGGGAAGGATGCAAGGGTAACCCTTGGAAATTGCTCATCGTTGCTATGCGGGTTGACTGTAAGAAATTTGCTGTTTGTGCAATTCGCGCGCGGGAGGCGGCAAATGGCGGCACCTGGGGCTCTTCCGACAACGAAGTTCGCCTGGCGAGGGACCCGACCAGATGCAGCTGTGAGTATCGCAAAATGTGTCCCTCTCATCATACAGGGCAGTTTTTCATTTTTTCAAGTTATCAATCCATGATGAATATATGAATGAACTTATGCATGAACTCCTCGTTGTTTTTAAAACTAAACCCTGCATTTTTAATACATGATCCGCACGCGGAGCATGTATAAAAAACGGCACTACCAGCGCGCCGCGAGAGGGATGGAGCACGGGGCATTGCGGCTGGGATCCCCGAAACGTGCGCGGGGTGTGCCGAAATGGGCGGGGGACGCATGCGGGCCCTGCAGCTCGGGCCTTCGTTCAGAGCTCCCCACGGGGCCACGAAGCGTGCGAGGGGCATGCCCAAATCGCCCCGAGGCCGCCGTGCGAACCCTGCCACTGGGGCTTTCGGTGGAGCTCCCGATGGGGCCACGATCCTCGTGAGGGGTGTGCCGAAATCGCCTGAGGCCGCCGTGCGAACCCTGCCACTGGGGCTTTCGGTGGAGCTCCCCATGGGGCCACGATGCTCGTGAGGAGTGTGCTAAAATCGCCCGAGGCCGCCATGCTAACCCTGCCACTGGGGCCTTCGGTGGAGCTTCCTGTGGGGCCACGATATGTGTGAGAGGTGTGTGTGTGTGTGTGCGTGTGCCGAAAGGGTTGACATGTGGAGGGCAGAGGCAGGGATGGGCAGAGGCAGGGATGGGAGGAGGGAGGAGGAGGAAGGAGTGAATGAGAAGCGGGGCGCTGTCTCTTCAAAACAAAAGACCCAACACAATTTATGCGTCGGCGGCGAGACAGAACTGCACCAGCGAGCGCGATCTGGGGCAACCGATACGCGAATTGGGCGGCGTGTAAGAGGTCACTGCAGCGACCTTACAGACGAGCTGCAGCGGATTTTTGCGTGGATTTCTGCCAATGCGAAACCCCGAAACGGCGAGTGAAAAACGAAATTAATTTCGCGTGGATTGTTTTTAGTCTTCATTCCTGGCCAAAAAAATCCGCACGAACTCCACCTCGAAATACGGAACCAAATTCTCCAGGACACTCCGGGCCCGTCCTATCGTTTTCCGAACGGACTCCGCTCTGCGATGTGGGCGCCATGAGAGGGGGGGGCAAGACAGACGGACGAGGACCCAACACCACAAGATGGTCGGGAAGTGCCCCGGCCCGTGCTTGCCAACTCTGCCACGGGATGTCGGGGCCCTCGGGTGATCCCCAGGACCGCTCCAGGACCGCTCCACGGGGCCTGCAGGGAGGGCCCACGAAGGCCCGACACGGCCCATGAGCGCTCCAAGACGCCCATGATGGAGTCTTGGTGGCACAAGAGGCCTCGAAACCGCCTCAAGATCGCCCCAAGAGGACCCCCAAGAGGGCCCACGGAGGCGAACGCTGTTGATGTCCTTTCTGGGTTTTGGGAGATTTTGACGTTCTCGCCATTTTGGGCGCCAAGACGGCCCAAGAGGCCCCCAAGACGGCCCAAGAGGGTCTCAAGAGGGGTCCACGAGGGGGACCACGAACAGACATTGCGAGCCCGCTGCCCCGAGACGACCCTCCAGACCGCCAGCAGGCCCGCCAGAGACCCTCAAGAGGCCACAAGAGGGCTCCAAGAGGCCCCCAGGACGTCTAGAGAGGCCCCAACGAGGCCCCCAAGATGCCCTCAGAGGCTCCCAAGAGGCGCCCCTACAGGCTCCCAAGAAGCTCCCAATACTGGCGCCCAAGGGCCCTTCAAGAGGCTCCCAAGTGGCTTCCCAACATACCCAAATGTCGACAATGATAAAAAAAGGGCCGGCGGAGCGGGCGAAAGTATTCAGTGAAAGAGCAGCCGGACAATGGGGCAAGATTTGAACCAGGCAACGGGGCGGGCGACGCGCGCAACATGAAACAAGGCTGCAAATATCGGGCATCATGGCGAACAACTCCGATACCCAACAGAGGAAGCTTGGGGAAACACACATCACACTCTGCAAGAAAGCCAACTGGCGAATATTGTAGGGGTGGCCAGCTGGGTCTCGATCCTTTTAGATTTCGGACGGAATCCACACTCTCACCCTACTAATCCAATTTATTGCAGCTCGGCTGAACTGAACGACCTCTTGATGTGGTCCAACTTTGAGGGCACAACGCCGATCCAACAATTACGTCCCGAGTGGTGCCCCGTGTTGATTCGAATAGGGATGACTTTTTTGGGTGACGTTTTGCTAACGACAGCATGGGTTTTTCAGAGGGAGGAGGAGCAGGAGAATGAGGCAAAGGAGGCGGAGGAGGAGGATCAGACGGAGGATGAGGAAGAAGCGAGAAGGACAGAGAGATAGAGAGAGAAAGAGAGAGAGAGAGAGAGACCACTTCGAAATGTATCTCCGGGGGATGCCCGCCGAGACGCTTTCTATCACCCGTGGCGCTGGCTGTGCGGTGAAAGGGGTTTCTAATCAGGGACCTTCTTTGACGGAGTAGGTGTCCTCTGTGGGAAGGCAGGAGGGTAGCAATTTCTCTTAGGGGGGGGACGGCGGACGACCATGAAGACGAGGATAACGTTGAGGACGACGACTCCGATAAACAGCAACAACACCAACGAGCACGATACCAATAGCAAAGACGACGATAGTCCTCACAAGCACGGTGCCCACAATGTGCCGTCATAAGACTTCCAGAAAAGTTCGTCAGCCTGACCCCGTTGTGACCGAATGCTGTCGGAACGTGCCGCCAACTTCGCGCTAATTATCGCGACGTCCCGCACATTCTCGCGTTACCCATTCTCTATGTCTGTCTGTCTGTCTGTCTGTCTGTCTGTCTGTCTGTCTGTCTGTCTGTCTGTCTGTCTGTCTGTGTCTGTCTGTCTGTCTGTCTGTCTGTCTGTCTGTCTGTCTGTCTGTCTGTCTGTCTGTCTGTCTGTCTGTCTGTCTTTCTCTCTCTCACACACGCTTGTCCGTCTGGCCAGACACATGTGATGCAAGCTTCTCAGACTGACCAGCCCCTCTGGCCCTGTTTAGCGCACGCTCTTCTCCGTTGCTGCAGATAATTGCAACAAGACAGGCTGGCCACCACGGGATGGCCGCCGCGGGCACATCACGCCGAGCTGCGAGTGCCACCGCAAAGCGTTGGGCTTCGGGCTCAGGGCGTGGACGCCTTGCCGCTAGTACCAATCGCGTGCCTGCAGAACGTACCGCTCATCAGAAACCTGGCCATCAAATGCAACGCTCCACCTGCGACCAGAAGCGTTGGGCCGGCACCAGCAGCGGTACATCGACCACGGCGTTGCCAACAAAGACGCCCCCCTGGCTCGTGTCCTTGGCCTTGGATCGCAACAGGGGGCCCAGCGCCACATTTTGAAGCACCTTCGGAGGGACCAGCGCTCACATGCGATGCGGGATTGCCCCTGCCTCTGTCCCTGCTGCTTCCTGTCTTCTCCGCTCCTCCTCTCCCCCCCTCTCAGCTGGCCGAGTAACAAAACGCGATATGAGATCGCTGGCACGCCCCGTTTGGATCCCGAAGAAAAGCGTGAGCCGCCCCTCCCCCTGCCACCCCGAGGAGGCGAATGGGGAAGAGGATGAGGAGGCCTCCCCCTCCTCCCTGTGCCTCCCTGCTTTCAGCCCCGCGGTGGCATCGGCGTGCATCAAAACCATAGTGGGGAGGATGATCGGTCGAGGGGGAGGGGGAGGATGCCCTGCTGAGGAGAAGAGGGGAGGATCCTCATCCCCCCCCTCCGCCTCCTCTCTCCTCCTCCCCCTCCTCCCTCCTCCTCCTCCCCCTCGTCCTGCCCCCACCCTCCCTCCTCCTGTCGGTCTCCTTGACGACGGGGGCAAGCACGCAGCAACCCGCGCCGTGGTCTGTGATCCCGCGGCGCCTCGGTGCCGTCGGCCAGGAAGGCGCCGAAGATGCCCAGCTCGGACACGGAGCGTCGCACCACGGGCTCGGCGCGCCTGGAGGGCTCCGCGCGGAGCACGGCGGAGGGGACCACGGGGGGCGAGATCCTCTCCATGAGGATGAACTCCGCGAGCTCGTCCCTGCTTTTGGCTCCGAGGGTCTTCGGTATGTCAACGCCGAAGAGGAGGTCCCCGGACCCCTCAACCTGGGCGGCCGGATCGAGCGGACTTTCTGCCTGGTTCGTCTGGCCTCTGCGCCGCTCGTTGCGTTCACTCGGAACGAGGGGCCAGAAAGCCCGAAAGAGCCCCGAAACGGAAGCCGCGAAGGGAAATCACGGCTGCGATGCCAGGGTGCAGAGTGCAGCTTACCCTAAAAAAACAGCCCGAGGGACGACAACCCGCGCACGCGACCCGCGCGCAGTTTGCCCTGCCGATGGGCCCGAGCAGCCAACGCCACTGGCGGGGGGCCGCGCCAGCAGCATCTGGCCGCAGGGCCGAGCGACGGGCGGCCGCGGCGATGCCAACACGCGAGCAGGCACACATTTGTTGGTCTGCGGGTCGAGAGCGGGCCTCTTCGGGCTAAGAGCTAGGAGGAGGAGGAGGAGGAGGAGGAGGAGGAGGAGGAGGAGGAGGAGGAGGAGGAGGAGGGGGAGGGGGCGGGCGAGGCCTCAGGCGGCGCGAGCAGGCACGCGGGCGACCCTGCACGCTGCGTGCGCCCGCGCAGGCGGCGGCGAGGCCCCCCGCGCACGTCAGGCGGCCACGCGCGTGCGCGCAGGGAGAGAAGAGCTCGGCATGCCGCCGAGTGCTTGGCCGTCCGATGCCCACGAGCACCCACGCCACAGCCCCTCGAGCAGTGGCTTGAGTGTCGCAGAGGGGTGAACGTTTTCTTCTTCGGAGCTTCGACATCGGGCGGGAGGGGAGGGGGAAGGGGGGGGTCTAGCTCCAGACCTCTGCTGAATGCAATGCGTCTGTTTGCAGCAGTGCGTCCTCCTGTGGGGGAGGCTCCACCTGCTCGAAACAGGCGCCAACAACAGCCACGATGTATTCCATGGAGGGGGGGGGAGGGGGGGGGGTGCGAGGACCCGCGCCGATCGGCATAACAACGAATACGACAACTAGCACTGTCGCGACTGTAGACTGACGTATCGAGCCAACATCGTGCTGTGCTGCGCCTCATCCCACGCGCTCGCACGAGCGTCACGCGCACGGAACCGGGCGCCCGATCTCCTGGTGGCGGCTGCCTCACGGCGGCCTTCCCTGCCCCTCAAACCTCGAACCTTGGGGACTGGCATGAGAATTCCGTTCCAGACGCATGATGCTTAGGTCGGGCATGTCCTCCTACAGGCGGATTCTGAAGGAACAATAGGAAATAGCCGACACAAAACTACACATATCGAAACATGCTCGAAACATCGTCCCGAGACTATGTTTTGACTATTTTTGACGATTCCGCCTGTAGAAGGACAGGCCCGACTTTACACTACGCGTCGACGTCATATGTAGTATGCACGGAGGGGCAACGACTTGCTGCACATGTGCTCCGCTTGGTTGATGCCAAGGGGAAAGCACATACGCAACGACTGACCATCACCATTCCAGTAATTGCCCTTGCCACCCTCGTCCTCATGCGTCCTGCGATCTCCGCACTCATCACCAATTTGCACGTACTGGTCGCACCACGGCGCACTACCCTTGTTGAAACTCTACTCATCCATACAACCGACCGATCATCAGCGATACATGCATGCACATCAGTATCGTCGCAATGGTCCCCATCACCACAGCAATCACAACAACAATCCTTTGTCGCACCGTATTGTCATCTCCGTCGCTACCATCATCACCGTCCCACGCATCATCATCATCATCATCATCATCATCATCATCATCATCATCACCATCATCACCATCACCATCACCACCATCACCATCACCATCACCATCACCATCACCATCACCATCACCATCATCATCATCATCATCATCATCATCATCATCATCATCATCATCTTCATCATCATCATCAACGATGCCATGATACTGGTCAGGATCGTCATCATAATGATATCGTAACAGGCCTCTTCATCCAAAACACAACGGCACCAAGACACCACGGCACGCGACACCGCAACACCACGGCACTCTCCGACACCATCCGGACACACGAGCAGCAGCCGAAACACCAGCAGCAGACTGCATCGAGTCCTGCCACCCTGGCAACTCGCGACGCCCGAGGCACAAACACGATACACGAAACGTGGCTTCCCTGATGGACTGGCCGCTGAACACTTTCAGACCTACAGCTTCAATTATTACGTCTGCAAGCAACATTTTTGTCCCCGTGCTCACCTGAGGCTTCATGACCCAACTTGCTGGGTCGTCCTTGGCAGCCCGAACCGCTTGCTTGGCCTCCTCGGACTCGGCGCTGGGGTCCTCCTGCCGAGCGAAGCAGCGCCGCAGACGCTGGCCGACGCCATCTGGCGCGAAGCGCCGCAGTTCGTGCGCCTGGGACAATAACTGCTGCACCTTCTTCATGCCCGCCAACTGCGCCGGTGCTGAAGGGCATTTAACAGCCTCTGAGATCTCGATGGTCTCGCGCGCGGTCCAGCATTCCTCTGCTGGACAAAACTGTCCTGGCCAATAACCCTCACGGAAATATGCTACGGCAACCTCGTGGCCGTCAACTAACAATGCCTGCGGCCCTCGACTGCCATCAGCGGCAGCGGCGCCATCGAAGCCCGCTGGCTCCAGAGGCGCCAGCAACGTGGAACACTGAGCGCTTAAGGCTGCTAAGCTTCGCCGTACGGTCAGCACTTTGTGGTTTTTGAACAAACTGATTTCCAGCTTGCGATGGTCCAACTCATTGTTTTCCTTCTCACTGCTTATGAATAATACCACCCGCGGCTTGCCTGTCGGCTTCCATCTGTTTGCGTAAACTCGCTGTGCTTGGGCAAGCGCTGCTGCAATGCCATCTGTATTGGGGCTCCTAGGTAAAGCCTGCTGCAATGCCTCGTGTACATCCTGCGCATCACAGTCTGGTCTCAGTCGCGGAATGTACTTCACCAAAGCGTATCTGTGCACTTCTGTCAGGTCTGCACAATGTGTGGAAAAAGACGCTGCTATCATGTTGAGCTCGATCTGCCGTCCTGCGAAGCCGCTTGAGCCGACCGTGGACTCCAACATGAAGTCATTTCGCATTATGTGCAATCGGATATCTCGAGAGTGGTCTTTCTTACCAGGGCCATAAACGCGCTCACTAATACCAAGCAGTCTTCTACATATCTCGTCCACCTTCGCTGTCTCTGCCAGAGAGGCGCGCAACCATGGAAGGTTCAAAGCGACCTTGTCCATGACAAGGTGGAAGTCGGGAGCGAGTGACGTCGCCTGGGATGGGGGCGCAAAACACACTAAACCGAATCGCGCCCTGCTAAAGTAACCAGGCTGAAACACACTGCGACGTCTGGCCGACCATGTGACCGACGACAAGCCCCGATTGCGATGTCTGATCCGCCTTCCGATTACTCTTCTGATCCCGGCGATGATTATGGCGAGCGCAACCGATGAAGCGATCAAATCCATCGAACACGTGGCGAATACGATTGGAGGGTCAATGCGCGTCTTGAGCGTACTCCAAGCAAAATGGCTCAGAACGCACGTCAAATGAGGCAACATCTTCCTGCCCACAAGAACGCCGCCTATTGAACAAGCTGAGTCTGGACGTAATATGTTCCTGCAACGCTCCCCCCTATCGAACCGAAAACTCGTGACTGTATCAACCAAACATCGGATCGGAAATAATCGGAACAACGCGCACCGGATTCTGGATCGGATCGGAATTGGAATCCCGTCAGGCTCTCGGTCCAGAACTAGAAGCGAAAACGCTGTGCTGGAATCCACAACGAAATTTAAGTCGCAAGCCCCCCCCCGCACGCAAAATATGCTCGAACTGAGCTGGTAAACCGGAACTGGCGGCTTCCGCAACCGAGCCGCCCGAGCTGGAACCCAAACCGAACCGGTCCAAACCGAACCGGCCGGCCGTAATCAGCCCGAACGGCCAAACCGAACCGGGTGGAACCGAACGGGTATCCTGCACCAGCGGCGGCGGCAATAGCGCCAGCAGTGGCAGCAGCACGGCAGCGCCAGCAACGCCAGCAGGCGAAGGCGGCTACTCCGAAGACAAATCCAAAACTGCGGGGATTGTTTTCGAGGCAGCCGGCTTCGCCTGCTGCGAAGGGTCGTTTTGGCGTTCGGCTTGGAATCCGATGCTGGAAGCGACAGTCAATTCCCTCGTCCTCATGCCCTCCTCCTTCTCCATTCTCCTCCCCCTGCTACTCTTTCCCCGCCCCCCCCCCCCTCCTCCCCCCCCCCAGGGAGCCAATGGGGATCTGGCACGCGGGGTGGCGGATTTCACACATGTCCCCTCAGCCTGCGCGAGCACCACTGGTCATCGCTCGGACGTCCACTCCCTGTGTTTTTTTCGGTTTCGCGCGTGGTTTTTTCGCCAAATGATCCAGGATGCTCCTCGATGGTCCTCGCCGAAGGAAAAATGCACACGTCCGAGCGATGCCAAGACCACGCCAGCGCGGAGAAACTGCCAGGGGGCTCTGCGAGAGCAGGCTCGAAGATCCGCAAGGTGCAGACGGCCCCCTCGACACGGAAACCCCTTCGACCCGGGCCGCCGATCGTGGCTACAGCAGGTTCGTGTCGTGTCGACCCCAGCGTTGGTTTCTGACACCGCGCTGGATCGTGCAACCTTGAACGATCGGGCGTTTCCGAAACGTCAGATCGTTCAACATCGACCGATTATGGGTCGCCGGCGGCGTTCAACGTTGAATGCCCGCGACGGGGTCGCCGCCAGTCGACACGACGCGAACCTACCGTATCTTGGCGCTCCTCTGGGTGACCGGAGGCACGAGTGTGCTTGTTCGTGCGGCCGGGTCCACGGCTCAGGAGATGGAGGCCCAGGGAGCCCGCGTCAGATTTCCGACGGGATCTCAAGCAGGGTTTCAGTTCTCGGGCGCAGCGTCTTGGGAGCTGGGAGCTGCTGAAGAACCGCTGAGTCAGGCAAGTGAGGAGGGCATCTATTAACGATCGGAGTAGCTGTAACCCCACTTGGCCTTCTGGACCCAGGTGGTTCAGGGTGCCAGTACTTCTCAAACTAACTCCCTTTTCTCAGTCGGGGACGCGCTTACCCCTCCCCCTACCCCATCCATGTGGGTGTGTACCTGGGGGTCTCCAGCAGCTGCAGCGTCTGTGATGGCCCAAAATGGCTCCAATCTGGCCCCAGATAGCCCCCCAGGGCCTACAGTATGGCGAAGAATGCCCAAACTGTCCCAAGATGAACTCCGCTATAGATCCACAAGGCACCACGAGGACCCCAAGATGGCTCCGAGGTGGTCCCTGAACCTCCGAAGGATGCCCCTGCGAACCAACGCAATTGCATAATGTGAGGTTCTTCGGATATTGGCCCTCTCGCCTTATCCACCTCCGATGGGCCTCTGAGCACCCAATGGCCCCCAAGAGTGTCCCAAAGACCCCCTGGAACACCCCAAGAGGTCCCAACGAGGGCGAATCTTTGGATCAAAGGGGAATCGCTGAGGACCCTCATTTACGCGGCCGATGGCCCACTGCGTGGCCGAAAGGAACTCCCAGCGGCTCCTACGAGGACCCCAAGAGGCTCCCAACAGGGCCCCAACGGCCCTCCGAAAAACCCCTGACATGTCCAACGTCTTCCTTCTCTTAGCGCACTCGACAGTGACAACGCTCAAGGAGCTGTTCCCTGTAATACTCAGCATGGAGCGCTCACGTTGAGAAAATGTGCTAACACTTGGGTTATGCCACCTGGATTTGACATCCGCAGAGAACGCGACGCAGTACCACCTCTCAACATGAAGCTCATCCACGTACTGGAACCACGTCTGCTGAAAACTACTGGGCACAAGCCGAAACCTTTGGTGCCACGGTGGGCTTTCTAATAATGCCCACACCCGCTTCCACCCCCCTGGAGTGAGCGGGGATCCACATCAACCGATACTTCCGACAACATGGGTGAAGGGGTAACAGGGAACGAGAGGCGAGGGAACACACATAAGACACACGTATGGCTATTTTCGCGCCGCAGAGCTCAAGTCAGCAAGAGAAGCAGATACAGCAAAAGAGCGAGAGGGGGAGAGGGGAGAAGGACAAGCTGCCCCAGTCGGGCGCGAGAGACAAGATGAGCTTTGCCTCCGAGGAGTTGGACCAGACGGAACATTGCCAAGCTCGTTTGTCCCCCCTCCCACCCTCCTCCGCCCCGTCTCCTCCTCCGCCTTCCTTCGAGGGGCACAGATAAAGGGGTGAATGGCACAAGGGGGGGAGAGACATCGACCTGGAATCGGCGATACATCGCCGATAGATTGGCGGCGTTCCCCCGACGGCGAATCCGCACCCTCCTGGGCGGGGTGGGCGATCGGGGGGTCGATGCGTCCCCCCTCTGCCTAGGAGGCCTCCCAGATGGGGTCCGAGCAGATGTGGCCGGAGGAGCTCGCCGCATCGGCGATGCACCAATGATGTATCGTCGACGTCGGCGATGCATCGGCGACGCCGACGTGAAGCAAACCGGGCTCCGCATCCAGCCGCATCGCCGGTGCAGCAGCGATGCGGGGCGATCCCCCGACCCAATCTGCTCCGATCCCATCTAAGCGGCCCAGAGTGCCCATTCCCCCCCCCCCCCTTCGCTGCCCCCGACTTCTCCTTCTCATTGAGGGCGGCACTCTGCAATGAATCTATCCCCCTCCAAGTTATCTCGGATCTGTGTTTCGGTATCCCGAAAGTTACCTCAAGATTCCTCATGTTATCTACCAGGTCATCATGCCTCCCACTCAAGACGCTTTCATGGCCGCTTGAACCACTGAGCCGTCAACTACAAGATGGCGAAGCAATCGGCAAACCGAGAGAGCAAGCGAAAGTAATCGCGATATGGATTGGCGGGGTAGGAAGCTCAGACGGGAGGGGGAGAGAGAAGAAGAAACACGAGGAGAAGGGTGACAAACTTTGCGGACGGAGACTGGAGGCAAAGAGCCTGCCTCCACTGCCAACCTCGAGAGACTCGGGCCGCTTGTAGCCCCGTCTCGACTGCCAACCTCGAGAGCATCCTGCATCCTTCCCCCCATGACGGAAGCAGCAGGCAAACGCAGACAGGCCGCCCGCTCGTCTCGAGGGGGCGGGGGGGAGAGAAGGGAATGGTTCGCGCGGGGGGTAGGAGATGGAAAAGGGCAAGATGCCAGGGGAGAGGTGGAAAGGTGGAAAGCGGGGGAGGAGGAACCAGAGGAGGGAAAGGAGGAAGGGGGAGAGGGAGGAGGGGAGGAGGAGGAAGGAGGAGGAGGAGGAGGGAGGAGAAGGAAGAGAAGGAGGAGAAAGATTGGTGGAGGAGCGGGGGGAAGAGGAGGAGGAGGAGGAGGAGGAGGAGGAGGAGGGAAGGGGGGGTGGAGGAGGAGGAGGGGCAAGAGGAGGAGCTGGGGAACGCTTCAGGCACCCCTGACACCGACGAACGTGCCCTGACACTCCAGCCCCCATTCACGACGACGACCCCGTGCTTCCACGACTCACGCGATGTTATGGCGCACTCGTCCTCGCGCCATCCTCCCCTCAATGCCGACTGGAAGTAACAGACCGCCGACCTGTCCCGTAACTCTGCAAAACCCTTCCTGTCTTAAAAGTTCCCGCCCCGACCTATGCCACTGGACCCTACTATCTACTGTACTACCGTGCCCTGACGCCCCCACGATAGTCCCCACGTGGCCAAGCAACATCTTCGGACGCCACCGCCCCGCTGCCACCTCTCACGCGAGACTACGCGGCGAAGCTGCAGACGAGACCTGACGATCCAGCATTTTCTGCGCACTCTGTTTCGCTAGCATCCTGGGGCCCTCGCAACCAGACGGCTCAGCCACTAGGGCTGATGGCGCGCATGCGCCACTACACAGACATGTTGCGCTACGACGTGTGCACAGTGCCCCTGGTGGCAGAAGGAGTTCTCTAACTACACATACGTGTGATTCCTGGAGACCCACAAAGGTGTCTGGCACAGCATTGCGAGGGCAGTCGGTCATACCGCATCTATTCGATCAGCGGGGCGAGGAGGGAGAGAGAAAGAATAAGGCCGCATCGGCTGGGAGAACCCTCTAAGAAGTACGAGCTGCTTGGGGGCGAGAGGGGAGGACGTGGGAGACCTGCGGGGATCGCTCGTGCCAGCGGTTCCCCTCGCCAAAGCCCGAGCGCCCCCGAAGAGCATGCCGACTGAAGAACGAATAGCCCGCAAGCGATCCTCGACGACGCCTGGCCGCCGCTCGAACCCGAGGACTGCCAAAAATGAGGCCGACCGCCGAGCTCCTCAGACAGCGCGTCGCGCCACTCCCAAAATCCATCCTCCGAGAAGCAAACCACGTTTTAAAACATTCTTGCGCTGTTACAAAACAAGCATTGGGAATGGCGCTTCTAAAGCACTGGGAAAAAAACTAGATCCTCGATCCTCAGCTCGGGCGGTCACCCGAGCGACTGCCCAGCCTCCGCGCGACCAATGAGCGCAACCAGTGCGGGGTGGATATGACTCGAGAGCCCCTCAGAGTTGGCCTTGCGCTTCTCGGCGCCGATCTTCGTCTTGAGCTGGATTTTGTTGGAGGCATTGAAGACCAAGACCTGGACGATGGCGCATTCGCGCCTGGTGATCCTGGCGCGCAAGACCGCCGCCTCGAGGGCGCTGATCCACTGGTTCCCGGAGGCCCCCACCCCGAAGCGCTCCACAAAGCCGCGAACCTGCCGGGGCGAGCGAGGCTGGGGAGCGGACGGGGCTGGGAGAGAAAGTCAGCGCACAACGAGAACCCATTGTAACTGCCAGAGCCACGGCCAAACTAATCAAGCTGGAACTCGCGAAACCTGAACCTCACCGAAAGAACTGCAAGTACCGCCCCAGCTTGCAAAACAACGGTTCCATGGGGCGTGCAAGTCGCAAAGCGAATTGCATTGAATACGGCAGAAGTAAGTTACACGACACCTCACATCAAACAAAACTCATTTCTGCATGACAAGGCACAGCCACTCCACATGTGCTTCATGATACCCCTGGGAACCTCCTGCAACTGCTTCTCGATTGCATCCGTGGCGGTCGAGAAGGCGGTCGTGTTGAGCGAAACCAAGGTCGACGTCGCAACCTTCTTCACCTGCTCGAAGGTCGCGTTGGGCTTCAAGCTCGCGCTCCACGCTTCGCCGTCCCTGGAGCCCCCCGCGACTGAAGACATCGGCTTGGCGTCCAACGTCTCCGCGTACGGCTTCCTCAACGCTGCCTCGATGGCCGCCTGGTACTCTGTCATGTGCTCCTGGATGCCGTCCTCCACGATGTTCGTCGCCCTGTTCGTGAACTCCCGAGGGCCGTCCATGCTGTAGGCAGACTCAGACTTCTCGGACTGCTCGATCAAGGAGTTGATGCGCCGCCACGAACTGTAGAGAATCGCCAACGATTCCAAACAACGCTCATCCGAACTCGCAGAAGTGGGCGCCGTGTCTGCGAGGTGGTTCAGAGCATGGATCTCTGTGACGATATCCATCGCAATCGCGTGCACGTCCTGCGTGTCGCGGGAAATGCACATAAGGACTTCCCTCAGCAAGGGCAGGTTATCGCCAAACAACTTAGTCTCAGAGGTGTGCTTGAACAAATGGGCGATGGCCTCCCGCAAGATCCGCTCGCAATGGTCCGTGAGGCTCGACAGAATGTCCTCCGACGACGTGGCGACGGCAGTTGAGATCAAGTCGAACAGGCGAGCGCGAACCGAAGGATCGACCATCGCTGACGCACCGTCCCTGGTCTTCAGCTCCTCCGCCAAGCTGCCAATGCTCAACTTCGAAGACAACTGAGGCAGGAGCTCGCGGCAACGAACGATGGCATCCGCCCATGATGCCTTACGTTCCACCAGCTGGCCATCCTCCGTGACCTTCGTCATCCAGGCGCCCCCGTCCTTCGCTGCTGCGAGAGCCTTCATGACATCAGACTCATGCAAGAAGTCCCTCTTCAGAAGCTCGTCAACGTACTCGTCCACGATGTGAGCCATCGGCTGAGACGCAAGGGAAACGGCCTGCCACCGCGCGCGCCTCCGCCAATCGCTTAGCTGAGCTGCGGCCGTGGCGACCGCTGCACGCTTCCCCTCCGCATCTAGGTCCCCCAGGTGGTCCACGAAGTTCGCCATCTCCCCCATCGCCTCCTTGTGCGTCGTTGCCACGCGGCGCACATCGACAACCAGGGGCTTGAAGAACGCGGACTTGAGGAGCAAGCCCATGATCTGCGCGTGTAAAGGTTCGTCAGCAGGTTCGGGGGCATCGGCGGACGAGCTCTCCTCCTTCTTCGGGTGCTGAAGGACGTCGAGCTCCATGAAGTCGTCGAATGCGTCTAAGTTGTCTGGAGTCAGCAAGTGCAAGATACCCCTCATGGCAACCCCAGCATCGATCGCCAAGCCCTGGCACTCCTCGTCGGCGTCCTCCTCGGTCTCGACAACCAGCTTGGCCATCTCCGTCAACCAAGTCTGCGTGGCGGCAGTTGTCTCGAAAGTGATGCCCTCCAGAACTGGCGCAAGCACGTGGTTGACCAAAAGCCTCGCTGAGAACTTGACGCACTCCTTCGCAGACGCGTTGAGGGAACATACGCGTGGCTCCAAGGGGTCGAACTCCACAACGTCGATGGGACAGTCTGGCTTGATGATGCCGTAGGCAACCTTCCACGATTCCATGGGCGAAGAAATCGACAAAGACGAGAGGGCCTTATTCGCAGCCCGTTGAACCATCATCTTCTCCTGGTCAACTGTGAAGCTGACGCCCAAAGAAACCATCATCTTGACGCTCTCCTCGTACTTCGAGCCGTCCCACGCGGCGATGTTGCTGGAGGCGGTGAAGGACACTGCAGTGGTGAACACCTCGTAGGCATCTGACATTCTCTTCGCCTTCTCCAGAAATTGCTCCTTCTCGGCGTCAGGCAATGTCTGGGCGGTGACCCTCATCCCCTCGAAGCATTCCTTGAAACGTCGAAGTTTGTGGCTCTTGTTTTGTCCCCCAATCAAATCCTCGATGACAATCGAATTGATCTTCTGCGTGGTCGGAGAGGACGGGCCCCTGTTGGCCTCGACGGTGGTCCTGGCGGAGACAACTGAACCTTTGTCACGGACTCGTCTCTTCGGTGATGCCGTCGCATGGTCTCCACCGTGGATCGACGGGCCAGCGGCGATGCCCACGACCTCATGGGGTTCATCTTCTGCAGGCTTTTCTTCTTCTGCAGCCAGAGCCTGTCCGTCTCTGAGAGCCTGGAGTCGAGCATGAATGTCGGAGGTCTCCCACGCCGACAGCCTGAGCGTCTTCACCATTGGGTCCTCCTTCCCGCCTGGCTTCGCGGGTCTGGTGAAAAACTCGAAGGTGTCGGCACCTTGCCCTTCGCGCAGCTGTGATGATGGCGTCATCGTGGACTCGCTGAGAAGCACGGACGTGTCGTAGTACCACTTATACACCGTGCCTACCCCCTTGGGGATCGTGCCGTCGTCAGCCACGGCGACCCCCTGGAACCAATTGCCCCTCATGTCCAGGAGGAGGGCCATCTTGATTTGGGCATCCTCGACGGGCGTTTTGAAATGAGCGAGGAACTCCGCTGGCGTGAGGCCACGGTACTTCACCTGGACGAGACACCCGCCACGACGCTCGACGTTTACGTGGGCGGGGAAGAAAGGCTTGACCGCCTCCTCAGAATCGTCGCCGTACTTCCTCGACTGCATCCACTCCTTCCCCTTCTGCTCGCTCCCGTTGACCTCTGTGGCGACCTGCTCCCACGTTCCCTTCATCTCGTGGGCGAGCCAGACAGGGTGGCACTTGTCACAGCGATCGCCAGTCGGGATGATGTCGACCTTGCCGTTGGGGTGACGAACCTCCGCCCAGGCGCCCCATGGAGAGCCTGGGGACCACGCGGCCTTGCAGAGGTTGGTCCTGCAAGTTAGAGCCTTGGGCGGGCTGCCACCAGAGTGTGCCGAAGACGCCGCCGCAGAAGATGGAGGCGACTCGGCAAGACCCACGGGCCCGAAGCTCTTCTTGCGAATAGGCGGCCTCGGAGTGGCAACAGCAGGGTGACCTTTCAAGGCCTTGCACGCCGACTGAGCCTTGGCAGACGATGGACGCTTGCCCCCCATCGTTATGCTGATGTCGGTGGGGCTGACACCTAGAGTGGACGCTCAGGCGTTGCTCTCTCAGCAGGGCAATGAGGACGAATCACTATTGAGCCTAAGTGGCTATGGCTAGGTACGGAGGGGAGGAGGAGGACAGGGCAGGGAAGGGCCCTGGGTCCTGGGTGGCATCATGAGGCCCCTTACCTAGCACAACGCTGCAACGCGTCGTCGTCGTTATCGTTTGCACGGGCCCTTGTTGGACCTCTGGCCTCTGGGGGCTCCTGGGGGCTCAGATGGAAGCGCATTGCGCTGATAACCCCGTCGGTCTTGTGAGCGGGGGGGGGCCCTCCCCCATGCCAATTATCCAACGTGCTCTTAAAATTGCGTAGCACTTCCCTCAGGAAGACGGCGACGAGCCGACGTCTCACGTTGCCCAGGCGGGCTGGCACCCCTCAGCCACAACAAAATCCCCCCGGCTGAAAAACTGAAAAATCAGCCAGCTCCAAATCTTGAAATCTGATTTTCGACGAGCGCGGGCCCAAGGCAAATGCCATTGCTAGCTCGGGGTATCTCAAAGGTGAAATACTCCCAGGGGATCCCAGAGCGAGGTGTGCACATCGGCTGATGAGTCGGCATGCTGTTTTACATTCGCTTCCCTAGACCTCCTCCTCCCCCTCCCCCCCATCCTCCCCCTCCTCCTCCCTACCTCCCTCTCGTCCTCCTCGTCCCCCCCATCCCCCTCCTCTTCCGCCCCCATTCTCTCCGCCGAGCCGCGGCAGCCATCTCGGTCGGCATCGGCGATCCTGCGGCAGGAGCCCGCGGGTAGCAGACAACCAACGATCTACCCTAGAGCAACGCCCGCCAGGTCGGAGACAGCCAATTATCTACCCTCAGACCTGGGGTCGGAGTTGGGCGATGCCGCCTTATCCCCCCAGGGCGGGGGGGGGGGGGGCACAAGTTATCTCAAAACCCATAGAATTTATACCAAAACCCATGAAATTTATCCCCCCCCGAGACAGAAAGTTATCCCCTCGCCCGATGGGGTCGGAGATGCGGGGCCGCGACCTTATCCCCCCTGCCCCAGAGGGATAAGTTCAGGGGGGGGCACTGACAACTTCGCCGCGCGCAGGCACAGGATGCCTCTTCCTCTAGCGTCTCCTCCTTCTCCAGCCTCCCCTCTCTCCAGCCGCCTCCAGCCTCCCCCCCATCGCCCCCCTCCAACCTCCTCAGCCCCCACCTCTATGCAACTGAGGCGCAAGCTCACTCTACTCCAGCGCTCATCGCCCCTCAGACGAAGCGTTCTGGAGTCTACAAGAATTCAGGCTCATCTAACTCTGGAACACCGTCTGCAAACCCAACCTCAGACTCGAACCAATCACTCGTCCCTTCGATGCCCCGAAAAGCGCGCCTGGCTGCAACCCTGGTCGCATAGTCAGCCACGTAGGCCTTGTGCTTCTCCTTGGAGTCGCACTCGGGGTCCACGGAGTAGTCGAGCCAAGCCCAGATCTCCCCGATGGGCCTCCGAATGCGACATGTCCTCGACAAAGTACAATTGTGGTGTCGACCGCACACGCCCCGCATGTCCTTGCCATCCTTGCCAATCGTCGTGGAAAGGCGGATGTAGCTCTCCTTCCCCGCGTGGTAGGAGTGGTGGACCTTTGGAAACACGCCTCGGCGAGGAGCCCGATCGACAGGCTCTGGCGGAGGGGGCGGTTCAGGACCATCGTCTCCTGCCTCCTCGTCATCAGTACTGCTGCGTGTGGAGGACGACGAGCTGGACGATGAACTGCTCGACGAAGAAGCCGACGGCGAGTGGTCCTCCTCGTCGCGTGGCGAATCGGCTGCTACGACGGCGTCGACAACTGGCTCGTCGACGATGCCGCCGACCAACGCCTCAACATGGCCTCTGTCTTCATCAAGTACAGGAACTGGCTCCATCGGCGGGTCCACGGCGTGCCCCCCCGCGCCTCGCACTGCAGCGGGAGGTGGAGGCCCTGCCGCCCAGGCCTCCAGCGCATCCAATGGCCGCGCTCTCTTCGGCGCCGCCCCTGCACGAACCTTGTGTATAGCATCTGTTTGCAGCCTGCGAACTCTGCCCTCAACTTTATTGGGGATGACGTCGCCCAGGAGCGCCTTGCAGCGAACAGCGTCGCACCGCGCGATGGACCACGCCCTGCGATCGTCCAAGTCAGCGGCCAACTCCCAATCGCCGAAAGCCGATCGCACAGACTCCAACCAAGTAGTGCCGTCAACAGCACCAGGATGCAACTGGCCAGGGTTGTCAGGGTCCGCGGAGAACGCGGACGCCGCCTTCTCAGCGTCAAGGGGGCGCAGCTCGAGAAACCCGAGCTCGTACGGGCTCAAAATGACATCGGACACGTGGAAGAACCTCGTCACAGACTCGGAGCGGCCGTCCGCGAAAGTCAAGGCCCCAATGAAAGCCGCCACAATGAAGCCGTCCTCCAATAAAGGACGGTCGAAACCTTTCCGAAACTCCGCCTTGGCCCTCGCTAAGACCCTGGCGTATCGCCCAGCTATTCTGGCCCCGTCCTGGCCGCGCACGCACCGATTCGCCAAGAAGCACAACCGCGACTTAGCTGGAGCTGGGTCGCAAATCGGACTATCGACGACGTCGTCGGCTTCGGCTGGTATCATGGTGCTGACGCGGCTCCAGAGCTCAAGCGCCCCAGCGTGAGCAACGCTAAGGTCGGACATCCCGTGGCTGCTGAGCGAGGTCGCTGCCTTGGCTCTGTCTGCTGCACCTGTGATGTGGCACTCGAAATGCACAAAGTCCGTCTGGTCAGCGCCGCAGGGAGGCGTTCTCCACGAAACGGATGGCATACCCATCGCAGGAACGAGCTCCTGAACGCGCGCAAGGCGCCTCCCGCCATCACCGTCAGGGGACGAATGGGCTTGCTCAGCTGCTTCATCCTGAGAATGCTGCTCTCTCTGTTGGTCCCGTCGGCTCCGAAATTTGGCTCTCACTGCATCGCCATGGGCCCAACGCTTCTCGAAGGGAACAATGGTGCCAGCGGCTGGAAGCGCGACCACAGACTGCATCTCATGGGTAGCGGGGGCACCTGCTCTGGGCCCCTCGCCCTGGCCGTCGCAATCCCTGGCACCATCTTGTCGATGCAACGATCTGCGCGCACGCTCGGCACGCAACTCCGCCCACTGCTCTGGATCCCGCTTGATTAACTGGTACTCGTTCGACAACTGAGCATGGGTTGGCTGAAGGTCCCTGGGCACTGCCATCTTCATCGAACGGTAAACGTCCCACTCACGACATCCCTTCTGGCGCCTAGTCTTGGGTTTGCCGCGGCATCCCTGGCCCTCGAGATCGCGGAGCTTCTCTACCCTGCTGAGGCGGGCGGCGTCAGTGCGGACGTGCTCACCGATGAGGAAGGAGTTCAAAGACCTGAGGTCGCAACAACGTCGCATATTGTCTGCCTCCACCAAGAAACGGCGGAAGTACCCGTTCCTCTTCTCGACCTCCAGCGTCTCCTCGCGCCCGTTGACGTTGGCCGCCATGAGGGCGATCTGGGCTTCGCGAGACGACAAGTCGGGGTACGTGGCCAAGAAGTTCCCGCTCCACATATCCAGCCGTCGAGGACAAGCAGATTCGGCCTGCACCTCAGCTCGCAAATCTGGAGACCAAGGCGTCGCGAGCAACTTGAATGGGTAATTGCTGTGCATCGACTGCAACCGCTTCACGCGCACGACGCCCCTCGCCAACGTCCTGAACAACGTTGTCTGCAGCTCGTGGGCGCTCTCGAAGGCGCCCAGGTGCTCCCAGCGGTCGCCCATCAAAGCGAAACTATCTTCAATGAACTTCTTCTCGAACTCGCCGAAGAAAGCGTCCGCCAGCCTGTAAAGTCGCAGAGGCGGTTGACCGACAACGTACCGCTGACCGAGCCTTCGCTTGCGAAGCTCATCAGCTCGCTGGCGCTTCTCGTATTCACGTCCTGACCGCCAGAAGTTCCTCTCCATGATGTCGACGTGGGGCCTGATGCGCCTCGCCATGCCAATGAGCTGACACAGGGGGCGGTCGCGACCAACGCCTGTGGCGTTCAAGACGGTCCGTCGCCATGCTGCTTGCTCCTTCCGCTTCTCCTCGACCTCAGATTCGAGGCCGGCCTGCGGGCGCGGCGCCTCGGACGGAGGGCCGTCGGCAAACGGCGCCAGGGCCTGCGCTGGGCCGCTGAGGTCCTGGGCGTCGGCACCGTCTTCGCCTGCGTCATCAGCTTCGTCTGCAACTCCATCGAGCACTCTCGGGCCATCGACGTCCGCTGCAGCAGCTGCTACAAGGTCGCCTCGGATGACGCAGAACTCTTTCCACGCGTCCACGAGCAAGCCGTGAGGGGCCAACAGCCTCCCGAACCAGTCGGGCGCATCCTGCACGCGCTGCCACTTGTTCGACGGGAAGCTGGTTGGAAGCCCACCGAGCATGTACTTCACCAAAGTCTTGATGACCTTGGCTGCGTGCTCACCGTCGGTCTCGTCCTCGGACGGGAACAGCTCGACGACGTCGGTGCGGGACCAGTCACCAGGCAGGCAAGCAGTGATCGCGGCGGCTGCCACGTTGTCTTGCAAAGAATTTTTGCTGACGAAGATGTTCATGAGATCAGCGTTCTTCTCTCGCTGCAAATCCGACGGGCGACGATCCCTGATAATGCCGCCGTTGCAGATCCTCCTATGCAGCACCCTGGTAAGCGCACGCCTCATGCTCCTCATCATGCCTCCAGCGCGCAGGGCAAGGATCCCGTGCTTGATCCACGTGGCGGTGTCGACCATGGTGCCAAGCGACAGCTCGCGAGTAGTGCTGAGCTTGTGGAGGACGCACGTGGTCCTCAGCTGCATCTCGCCGCTCTCCGCATGCTCCGCCCGCTCAGCACGAGCGATGGCCTGGCCCCCGTCCGAACACGAAGACCTGGTGACCGTCTCAAAGCGCTTCTTAGCGAACTGGACCACAAGATACTCGCTCACAAACTTGAGCGCCTGCCTCCAGTTGTTCGCCGACGTGC